GGTCACGCAGTCGCAGTCGTGGTAGGAGGTAGGTTCTGGCTGTTGTGTTTTTGTTCTTCTGCCTCTGCTCCCTCCTTTTCTGTAGTCCTTGTGAAAAGTATTTTGCAGTAATTTTTTGTTATTTTATCCCTGTGGTTTTTAGATCAAGGTCAGCTTCCTACCGCAGGTCCAGGTCAATATCTCCTCGTAGATACAGATCATTTTCACCCCGCAGATCTCGATCTGGTTCCTTAAGGAGATCAAGGTAGGTGTTTTCTGTTAGTGTCAAGTTTATGTTGTGCTATGTGGTTTTTTTGAACTTTCATATTGTCACATTCTTGAGGGCTAATCTGAACGATTTCTTTCAAGTTAAAAACTTAAGCATCTAATTCTCAAATTGCTGTTTCTGAGCTTTTTTTATACTGTACCAAAATTACAGCCTTGATCCATAGTTAAGGTTTCCTGCTTCATTTTCAGGGAAAAGGGGACTAATTCTGTTTAGTTGATTAGGGCACTGGGATTTCTTGCATGGATGATACTGGCCAAATGTACTAAGTGTTTTAATAATACAAGTTACTTCTGCAAATGAAATGGTTCGAACAAAATTCTTGGAGGTCAGTATCATGAAAGTAAAAGAATGCTGTCTCAGCTGTACGGATCATGTAGTAGTAGTTGAGTTTTTCATTGCTCTTTTCTAGGTCTAGGTCCAGATCACGCTCAAGGTCCCGGTCTGCTGTATGGCCTCGAAGCAGGTAAGATACTTATTTTAAATCAAACCTATGGTATTTTTGTGTTTTGTTTTCTTCTGTTTGGTTTTTTTTTTTTTATTTCCCTGAGGGATTTTGGCTGGAATGGGTTAGAAGGTTGTGCAGCATAGCAGTATTCACACTTAATTTTAAATTTATGCCTTTTCACAGGCTAAAGTAGTGGTCAGTTTTTGTAACAAAAATGAGTTTGTTTTGGTCTGTGGCTACCATACATGGTCTATGTATATGTAGCCATGACCAAAGCATATGTATTTTAAGGCCTGTGGAGAGAAGTTCTGAAAATCAGTTAGTGTTTATGCATATAGTGAATGCTTGACCTTGTGTCCTACAGGAAATGCTCCCTAGTTTTTTCTTGGCTTTTTTTTTCTTATTTTTTTATGAATTCAAATGCAGGGAGGAAAAGAAAAGGTGATAAGGCTGTCACTGTTTACTGAACTCGTGCTTATAGCTTTTCAGCTTTGTCAGTTCCACTTCTGAGAGATCAAATTAAAATACTGTAGTGTTGAGAGCTACCTTACATGAGGTAGGACACTTGTCTTCGGAGATTTGGAGGGCTCAGTGAACACAACCTTGAGTCCTAATGTCAGAGGTAGTAAACTCAAAGGTGTAGTAATTTCAAAGGATTTCTCTGACATGTAGCCCTGGTTTTGTTAATCCGGATGTTTTCTGTGCTGAAATAGAAGTGGAGGAAAATGGGCACAGGGTGAAGGGGATGCTGCTTGTATTGAAATTTCAGAAAGTCTGCATTTGTGGTAATGAGAAGTGGCAGTTCAGGACTGAAGTTCTGGAAGCATTCTGAAATCTCCAGCAAGTGCTGCTCTGTTAATACGGCAACACTAATACGTAACCAATGCTGCTCCTAGAGCTTTTGATCTGCAGTTTTGCTTTGCTGCTGTGCCTCTTGGAAGATTGGCCAATAGTTCTCTTAGAAAGATGATACTCTTAAATGCTACCTCACTGTATTGCTTAGCAAAGGAAGTAATGCTTGTGCTACAAAATAGAAGTCCTGGGTAGTTGTTAGCAACTCCATCCTGTGCAACTGTGATACACTAACAAAATTACTGGATATAGTGTTAGGAACTGTGAAGGAGGATGGCTCAGCTTGGTGACCAGGAAGTTTTCAAAGCAGTGACATTTAACTCCATTTAACTTAACACCTCCTGTGTCCACGTGCTAGTTCTGTAAGTTAATAGGCCAGGTAGAGGTGAATTTTGATTACTCTTTAAAAACAACTCTAAGCAGACATAGAATAAAAAGTTTCTTAATTTATTGGCCAGCTCTATTCAGCAACTGACTGTCTTGAACACTGGGCTTTTTGATGTTTGGTAATACCACAACCTGAATTCTGAAACTGTAGGAGGACAAATATGTTCTAAGTTACCAATTCAAGTATTTGTTGTTAAGTTGCATGATAAATGTGTGGGGAAAGTCTCACTGTTTGAGTAGATTTTAATTCATAATAGTTTACATGTTGGTAGCCAGATATTGAAGCAAAATTGAAATGCTACTTTTATTGTGATAACTGATGAAAAAGCTGTGTTATACTTGAATAGAAGTGGCACTGTGAACTTGGTCTGAAAAATGCATCAGCTCTTCAGCATGTGTACTTACTGCCTTGGGCTGATTGCAGGCTGTTAACATGCTGTTAAAAGATTTTCTTAGATGGTACTTGAAACTGTTCTTCCCTTTATTGAAGGGATACATGTGGGCAGGGAGAAAGTCTGAGCAGGGAGAAAGTGTGGGAGCCTGGTTCAAGGTCTTCTGTTTTGTGAAAGTGGTAGCTGAAGCTTTGCTGGGTTGCTTCTTGTGCTTGTAACTCCTGTCTTCTGATAAGTTGGGTCTCTGGAGTAAGAGCTAAGGGATTCTCCTGAAATGTCCTGAGAAAAGCCTGCAGCACCAGAGCCTTCCTCTCTGGACTGTGATGCCAAGGACTATGAATTTGCTGTTGCTGGTTTAGCTAATTTTCATTGTATGTGCATGTCACTGGCTGCTTTGCTGAGCTTTATTTTTCTCCTGTTATAGGTCTGGGTCCCATGGTAGATCTAAATCTGGCTTACCTGCTAAAAGGTGAGCGTATAAATACAGGTAGCGCTCAGGTTTTTGTTGTGGGTTATGTGTTTGTGTGTTGGGTTTGTGGTTTTTTTTTTTCTTTTTTCTCCCATGATTCAAAAATCTATGCTTGGACCAATATTTCAGTTGTATGTGGAAGAGGTTTGTTTTATTTTTTAACAGCTGATTTAAAAAATATTTTTCGGGCATTTTTATGGTGTGGTTGTGTGGTTTTTGTTGTGGTGTTTTTTTTTTTTTGTGGAGCAGTAGGCAATTCTTCTAGAAGGATTGTGGATATGGTTTTTGAACCCATGATTGTGAGAAAAGGTTTTTTTGACAGGATTTGGGTTGTAGCTTTCCACCTACCTTTGTTCTCAGCTCTGCGTAGTTCTCGGTCTTTTTGACTCTGCTCTACTTGATTCACTGCTCCTGCTTTGCAGGATTACTGTGATTGTTTTACAGCCGCTTTGAAGCTGTATGTTGCTTTTCTGCTGAGGACTCTGGCTTTCAGCAGTTCTTTTTGTCAGGTGCAGCTTCTTGATTAAAATAATTGGGTATAATTGCTATTGGCAGCATTGAGGGTTATGTTTTTTAATGTATTTAACAACCCAAAACTGTTCTTACTGTTTAAACAGTCAAAAGTGGTTACTGCATGTATACAAGTTTACAACATGGATATTTATTATTTTTTTTTTTATTATTCAACAGTCGCTCAAAGTCCAGATCACCATCTCCAAAGAGAAGGTAGGAATATCTTGAAACTGGAGCGTGCTATACAATTACACAGAACTAGTGTCTGGAGTGGTTGCTATAGAAGTTAACTTGTGCAGAAAAGTTTTTTTACTTGTCTTGTGACCTGTGAAAAAACTGATCTGGGCACTTCTTGCTATCAAAAGATGAAGTTTTGTGGAAACTTCCTGCTGCTGGTAGTCAGAACTCCATGATGGTAACTGTAAGGTGACCTGCTTAAATGACATCTTAAAGGACAGCAGAATATGTGGGCAAATGAGGATCAGCTATCCTGAAGTTCTTGAGGAATTTAGAATCTGCGAAAGAAGTGAGTAATGTTGTGTGGAGCAAACAGT